AGATGTTAAAATTGTCAACAGTGATTGTGGAATTGTTTCTTCCTAGTTCTGTTGCCCTGTACACATTGTATTGAGAAGCCCTGTTAGGTTTGTACACACTCAGATGTGTAAGGCCCCTGATGCTTGATCTTACATTATTATAACATGTAGCTCATTGTCTGTAGGACTCTTTGCCTGGGAGTCTACTCCATGTAGCCACATGAGCTTCTTATGTGTTATGATTGCATGCATGTTACACCTCTCTTCCATCCTTTATGTTTAGCCTGTGATGTTTCTAAAATACATATACTTGAACTATATAGTCAAATCTTGTCTTGTGCATCTGACAACTGGATTTTTAATTGGAATATTAGATCATTCCTTATTATTGTTCTGGGCTTGGTCATTCTTTAACCCTCTTGTCTTATTCTGGGTAAGTCTTTTTTTTCAGCTCAGTTTGATGTTACTTTATATTTTTTTTTTTTTTTTTTTTTTGGTTCTTTTTGAAACAGGGTCTCCCTGTCCCCCAGCTGGCCTGGAACTCGCCATGTAGACCAGGCTGGCCTTTAACTCACAGAGATCCGCCTGCCTCTGCCTCCCAAGTGCTGCAACTACAGGCATGCGCCACCACATCCAGCACCTATGTCATTTTGTAATTAAAAGAAAACTAAAAACCTAGTAAACTGACAATACACTTGCAGGGAGCTGGAACAGGGGAGGAGCCCTTCTCACTGGGTCCTTTGGGTCTAGGAAGAGTTCTGCACTCCTTCTTCCTCTCCCTGTACCTCTATACTGTTATCATTCTGAGCACCACCAGCCCTAATGACTTATAGTTGCTGTTTGTCCAGTAGTCCTCTCTTGAGACTTTCACCTCAGAAAACTTTTCATTAGAATCAGAAATAAAATTAAGACCTATTAAAAAAAATCAAAACTATAGTTAGCCGGGTATGGTGCTGGGTGACTATAATGCCAGCAGTGGGAGGTGAGCAAAGGAAGAGCAGGTTGGAGGCAGATCTTAGCTACTTAGTCTGAGGCCAGCCTGCGCTGCATGAGACCCTGTCTTAAAAAAAAAAAGTAAAGTTTACTGGGTGCAGTAGTGTACACCTGTAATCCCAAAATTTGGGAGGCAAGAGACAGGAAGATTATGGGAAATTGGAGGCCAACCTAAGCCATACAGAGAGGCAAGCCAGGAATACAACAGGGAGAGCCTGTCCCAAAAAACAAAAAGCCGTAAATTTAAAAGTCAAGCAGAAACTTTACAATAACTGGAGCTTCAAGTCTACCAAAATAGAAATTAAAACAAATATAATTTAAAGCTTTCCAATGCTAAAATTGAACCACTGACCAATAAGGCACTTTGTTTACAAATTGAATTTCCTGGAACAGTTGGAGGAAAGAACATAATCTACATATACATAAGAAAAAACAAGTCAGGGCCTGTGAGATGGCTCAGCAGGTGAAGGTGCTTGCCACACAAGCCTGGTGACCAGAGTTCAATCCCTAAAACCTACATAAAGGTAGAAAGAGAACCAACTCAACAAAGTTTGTTTCCGTCTGACCTCCAGATATGCACCATGGCACACCGCCCCCCCCCTCCGCACATTATACAATAATAATAAAAAATAAGAAACAGGTATCAGGAAGCAACCTTGAATATGGAGCATAGTGCTAGAGTAAAGACAGTTTTCATCTTAGAGTGTGATGACAGGGCTCTGGAGGTAGCTGCACAGAGCTGGAGTCAGGAAAGCTAGAAGGTGGCCTCATTTACTCTGAAGCTATTGCCTCATGTGACTGCATACACTCAGTTAATGTCAGCTAATTTTTTGGGTGATAAGCACCATAGTTGCAGTGGCTACAGCAGCATTACTTCAGGTTGCTGTTGTATTTCGTCCATGGAATAGAACAGCAATTTTTCTTATCTTTTTTTTTTTTTTTTTTTTTTTTTGAGACAGGGTCTCCCTATAGCCCCAGCTGGCCTGGAACTCCCTATGTAGACTAGGCTGGCTTCAGACTCACAAGGATCCATCTACCTCTGCCTCCCAAGTGCTGGGATTAAAGGCATGTGCCACCAACCCCGGCAAAAGCCGAAGTTTTTCATGGGATTGTTCTATGTGATATTTCTAGAGCCCTGTCAGGTCAGAGCCGAGGGAGAATTGGCTACAGGGCACCTCTGCCTTGTCTGCCTTGCTGCCTAGTCCTGCCCTTGCCTGTGGTTTTCCTGTTTGTTCCTGCCTTTGAGGGAGGAGAGGGACCTGAAAGATGGCTGTGTTGTCCTGCATACATTTCTCAGGAATAATGTAATCAGCTCTGTCTTAGAACCTGACCAGGTTTTGAATTAGTCATTTCTTGCTTGGGTTGTAGGGTTACAGTGCACTTGCGTGAAGACTCTCTAGTTCCATCCTGCACACTGACATGCTGCTTTGTTGCCCTCACAGGCAGTAGGAAGAAGCACAGCAATTCTATCTCTGTTGGAGCATTTCTAGATGAAGATGATGACATGAACATGAGCTTAGAAGAAATTAAAAACCGGCAGAATACAGTCCAAAGTCAGAGTCAGCCCACAATCAATGAATTCCAAAACTCTGAATGTGGCACCTTTCCCTTGGGGCAGAAGGTGAACTGTGGAGAAGCCTCAAGCAGGCACTGTGCCCATGACAGCAGAAATGGGCTTTGTCATCCTCTGAACCACAGGACCTCGGGTGGGAGGGAACTAGAAGCCTCCAATGGAGAGGAGGCCTTTCCATCACCTGTTTCTAGTTTGATTCTTGAGTTTGATAAACTGAATTTGCAAAAGCAAGGTGGTAGCCTTTTCAAGACACCAAATAAAAATAAGAAAATAGAAGATAAGAAGATAATGACTTCAAGAAAGGATGCAGTAGGAAGTGACTTCCTGGAACCTCCCCTTGCAACAGCCAGCCTTAGAGATAATCAAGTCAGGACTAACAAGGAAGTATCAGCTGCAGTGGCTGAAATGTCTTTGGGACGCATTAACCCCCAGCTTACGGTTCAGGCTGGCCTAGAACCTGTGTCCTCCTCTGCCATAGGAGACTCCACCAGGAGGCTCTTCCTTTCTGGGTGAGAGATGTTTGTGGCACTGTTTATAGGAGTTGTGTAGCTTCTCTATGTTCCTCAGGGTCTTCCAGAACTGTGCTGATCCAGTGTCCAGAAATATTTGATCTGCCCTAAGTTTAATTTGTTTTAGAAGTCCAAAACATGTTAATAGTAGGGTACATACTACCATGGAGAACCCAGCTGGTGTCTTTACCTTCCCCTACAGTACTTAGCTGAAAGAACTGTGTGCTCTGGTCCTGCATACCATATGTTTGTACACTTGAGTGTGGGTGCCTACAGAGGCCAGATTCTCTTGGAGCTGGAGTTAAAGGCAGTTGAGAGCCATATAAGATGGGTGCTAGGAACCAAACTTCAGTTCTTTGTGAGAGGAGTAAGTGCTCTTAACCACTGAACCATCTCTCCAGCACTTCCAGATTGGTTCTTGTGTTAAAAATGCAATGATATTTTGAAAATCTTTGGAATATTTTTAATTCAAAGTGTTTCTACTTTTGCTTTTTTTTCTGTTCTGCATTCTAGAGAGGAGCCATCAAAGCTAGATCGGGATGTTTTGGCAGCTCTCGAGTGGGCGCGTATTGATCCTGATCGGTACCCAGCTGTCCACAGGTGGAAGAGCGCTGTCCTGTGCTACTCACCCTCAGACAGACAGAGGTACTATCAGGACATCAGAGAGCAGAGACTGTGACAGGGCCATCATGCATGGGTGGCTTTCTCAGAATGGCAAAGCTAACCTGTGTGGCTGCAAGTCTAGGTTTCCATGTTGCTATGGCCACAATGCAGGTCCCCACTGAGTAGAAAAGCAGGCCAGGTTTGTTCCTGCCAAGCTGCAGCAGTGATGGCAGCATCCAGGATTTGTAGTTTGGGGTGACATGGGTTTTGTGTTGAAAATCTTTAATGTTAGAAATAGCTCCTCTCTGCACCTTGGGTGGCATGCCTATGTCTTGCCCTGTCCTTAAATCTCTACTTTGTAGCTATACTTTTCTCTGGTAACATCTCTTTTTTTGTTTCTTCAGTTGGCCAAGTCCTGCACTGAAAGGAAAGTTCACATCTCAGCTGCTGGATCTTAGCCTCCCACGTAGCAGCAGTCCAGGGCAAAGGAGTCCTGCTGGCAGCAGCCCCAGCAAACCTGGCTACACCACCTCCTCCCCTGGCCTGGGCAGCCCTGGGCGCTACAGTCCTGCACACGGAAGCCACCTCCGCAGGATGGCACACATGGCTCAGCTCACAGCTCTGTAGGGCCACCCATTGCTCATTCTTAGGGTTTGTTTCCTTTGTTTTTAAAAGAAAAAGAATAATAATACTTGCTTATTGGTAAAATTCCATGAAAAAAAATGTATTCTAAATAACTTAATTCTCACTTTGAGAGTACAGGACTTTTAGAAAATACAAATGTCCTGAGTAAAAGTCAAATGTCTGATATTTTGAAAAAGTTAATGAAGCCAGGCATGGTGGTGCACGCCTTGAATCCCAGCACTCAGGAGGCAGAGGCAGGTGGATCTCTGGGAGTTCAAGGCCAGCCAGAGATACATAGTGAGACCCTGTCTGAAAAACAAGTTAATGAAAGCAAACTCAGAGCAAGTTGTCTGAAGCTAGTGGCTATAGCAATGATGCACTTTTCAGGTAGAGACTTCTAGTTTTGGAATGGAGCAAAGATGCAAAGGCAGTTGATGGACAAGAGAGCTGTTGCTTTAGTTGAGGCTGGCTACCTGTAGTTGTTAGTAGCAACATCTCTGCAGTACCTGCATGCACATCCGCTGTTTCCAAACAGGTGAATTGTGTGTTGTCTCAGTCCTGGGGGAACAGCTTTCTGGTATGCAATGGCAAAATATGTATCACTCAATCCTAGTTGTTTCAATGGTAAGAAGGCAGGTGGCAGGAAGCAAATAGGCCTCGACTATCTCAGACTTTTCTAACAGTGCTCAAAATACTATCAGCATATAAAAATACCTTTTGTAGGGGTTGGGGATTTAGCAGGTGGATCTCTGGGAGTTCAAGGCCAGCCAGAGATACATAGTGAGACCCTGTCTGAAAAACAAGTTAATGAAAGCAAACTCAGAGCAAGTTGTCTGAAGCTAGTGGCTATAGCAATGATGCACTTTTCAGGTAGAGACTTCTAGTTTTGGAATGGAGCAAAGATGCAAAGGCAGTTGATGGACAAGAGAGCTGTTGCTTTAGTTGAGGCTGGCTACCTGTAGTTGTTAGTAGCAACATCTCTGCAGTACCTGCATGCACATCCGCTGTTTCCAAACAGGTGAATTGTGTGTTGTCTCAGTCCTGGGGGAGCAGCTTTCTGGTATGCAATGGCAAAATATGTATCACTCAATCCTAGTTGTTTCAATGGTAAGAAGGCAGGTGGCAGGAAGCAAATAGGCCTCGACTATCTCAGACTTTTCTAACAGTGCTCAAAATACTATCAGCATATAAAAATACCTTTTGTAGGGGTTGGGGATTTAGCTCAATGGTAGAGCGCTTGCCTAGCAAGTGTAAGGCCCTGGGTTTGGTCCTCAGCTCTGAAAAAAAAAACCTTTTGTCGTAAGGAAAAAGATGTTACAGCAATAACTGAACAGTTTTCTTAATTTGTTACCAGCACTTTTGTATGCTTTACTTAGTTGCTAGTGTAGTGATAATTAAGTAGTCCATAAATTGTTCTCTAGTTTTAAATTTTATCCTGAGACTTTGTGAAGCATATGGATTAAGTGACATGTATTTCATATTTCAGAATTCATTTAAAGATCATTACAGTATAAAACCTGAAAGTTTGAGTCCATTTCAGTTACTGATGTTTATTTTAGCCTTTCCCTTGGTGCTAGCCCCAAGAGATCTGCATAGAGAGTGGCATTGTACACCCCAAAGTGCCAAGATGAAACCACCTCCTTAAGGTAGGTCCTGGTTGTTTGATATAACCACTTTCACATGGAGTAGTATTTTGTAGACACTTTTGAGTGCTTAATCCAAAATGACAAACTACCATGGCTCTTGCCAACTTCAGTGCCTTTTATAAGTCATTTTTAATTTTCCTGAATTTAGATTTCGAGATTGTACAATGCTACTAAGAGTAAGATTCTTTTCTATTAAAAATTCTGAATTGGAATTTTTAAAAAATTTATTTCATCTGGTAAGACATAGGTCAGGAATATTGGAATTGAAATTCAGGATTGAGAATTCAGAAATTTGTTACTTGGTATTTTCATTCCTCGTGTAGCAGATGAAATCTAGATCTAAGACAAAATACACAGCCTGTCTTAAAAAAACATTCAAAAACATCTTTGTTCTCAAAAGAAATCAGAATCTGCATGTTACATTCAGCTCTGATGTATTTTCTCTGAAATCTTACCATATTGTTCTGTTTTTTTTTTTTATTGTCAATACTCAAATAAAAATTATTGGTTTTGCCCTAATTCTACAGGATGCAGTTTTTAAATTTTTTAAATGACATTTATTTATGTGTGTGTGGAGTCAAAGGAAAACTGGTAAGAGTCATTTCTCATGTAGGTCTCAGAGGTCAGATTCAGGTCTTCAGGCTTAAAGGCAAGTGTCTTTAGCTGCTAAGCCATCTCACCAGCCTGTTTTTAAGCTTTAAACTACCTTTGGACTGTTTTCTCCACCTATGTGAAGGTCTGATGCCTGTTGGTAATCACCTAGAGAGTCTATGTCCTTTAAACATTGTTTAATGAAACATTTTTACAGAGCTTTCAGATATATCACTTACCTGTGCCTGGATAGAATTTCCTTTTTAGTAAAACTGTGAGCAGTATTTTCACAGAGAAGTACACTAATCTGAGAGTATCGTAGTGATGTGTTTTATTTTGAGACAAGGGTCTCACCATGTTGCCCTGCTGGCCTTGAACTTCTGGCCTGGTTTACTTGCTGGTTTTTAGCCCTTATTCTAATACAGTTGGTATCATGGCAGTGGGAAACCTATTTGTTAACAACCATTGGTTTATATTGTATGATTATGGGTGTGTAAGACATGCTTCCCAAAGTGGAATGTGGCATGGATAGGCTTGTAATAGACTCCAAAAATTCCACTGCTCAATTCTAGAGAAAAGCAGGGCATGATGTTGGTAAAATAAGTTGCTTTCTTTACTGTCACAGGAACTACCACCAAAGACTATTGGATGTTTGGATCTTTCTAGAAATATTAACTACTTTCAGGGGAAATGAATGGTTAGGACTTCATGTTGTCTTCTTGAGTCAGACTTAACAAAGTATACTATTATTTCTCATTTGTCTCATAGGAAATTCTGTTGGAATGAAGTACAACACAACAGTCAAGAGGAATCAGTGCCGTTTAGTGGCACATCATTCCACCCTTTCTTTCAGATTCTCTCAGTTACACAGGTGTGTGATCTTGTTTTGGCCAGACTTAACAGTATTGTTACCACTGTTATGGCATCTTTTTAATCATTTGTCCAGGGAATGTCCAGCACCAGTGGGGAGGGAAGGGGACAGACATGGACAGACAAGAACCAGGAAACATTTTCCATCATAGTATCACTGGGTCTCTAAAACCGAAGTTGTTCAAACACCTTGACCAGGTTCTCTTTTTTTTTTTTTTTTTTTTTTTGAGACAGGGTCTCCTTGTAGCCCCAGCTGGTCTGAAACATGCTATGTAGACCAGGCTGGCCTCAAACTGACAGAGATCCACCTGTCTCTGCCTCCCAAGTACTGGGATTAAAGATGTGCCACCATGCCCAGCTCAGGTTCTTCTCTAAAGTGGGCTTTTGGGGCACTCATTCCAGCCCAGGTAGTCACAGCATGGGTAGGTCAAGACTGAAGGTCCTCAAGGCCTTCCTGATGCTGGGTGTCTACCCCTCCTTGCTTCTAGCTCAGACCTGCTCCATGTACCCATCACCCACTGAGCAGAAACAGTCATCTTCACTGCCAAGGCTATAAGGCCCTATGGTGACAGAAAAATCTAGTAGAAAAAGACCCAGCAAGAAAAAGTTAGCCGAAAGAGCTAGCTGAGGGTTTATGTTAGATAAGAAAACTAAAAATTAAAACTTACTTTTAAGAAAACAGTTTATGTCCAGAACTTAGCTCTTAAAATGAACCAAATGCTTGAGTTCCCGGCTTAACTTTACAGAATCTAAAAGCCCAACTTCATGTGCGTGGTTTCAAATCTAACAATTAGTATACTTGGGTTTTATTTGGGGGATTTTACAGAAGCATTTGTAACCTATTGGATCACTGGTCTCATGATCAACTAAGACTTCTGCAGGTCCTCCCTCCAGCTTCCTTCATCTAAGTCATTTTCAGCTGTCACTTTATAGTGTGATTTTTGACTCACTGTGATGTGGAGAGATGATGGAGTCTGCAGAGAAGGCAGCTGATGATGGGATCGGGCTGAATGTACCCTCAAGGTCTTAGGCCCATAGCCTTGTATCAGTTTACAAGATCACTGCTGTTAAGAACAATCACTGCACTGCACCCTGTAGATGACTGTTGCCTCCTGAAAAGATTAACACATCTCACATACTAGGAGATGGCCTTACCTCAGAGCTTCTAAAATACTGCCTGCCCTTAGAGGTTAGCTATGGGGGACTGTGACATGTGGGGAATATCCTTAGTACAATGATCTAGGGAAGTCTCTGCCTCCCTGTAAAATGTACCCACCTTCCCATCAGGTCAGGTGAGGTGGAGCTTTGTGTTTAGAAGTTGACACACAGACCCTGGCATGTCTGCCTCAACTACTACTAGAAAGTGGCATGTGGTGGTCACAGCTACTTCCAGGTGACACCTCTCAGGCCTACTGTGGGACAAGAAGCATGCTTACCTCCTGGATTCAGGAAGGAAGTCCTAGGAGGATGCTTGGTTAACCACCAGCCCTACAGACAGAAACACTGAGACAGGGCCACTGGTGATACCACTTGTTTCTTGGGGTGTTTTTGTTTTTTTTTTAAAAAAAAAAAAACAATCACAATTAGTACTTTAAAACAAAGAGTAAAATTTTATTACATACTTATTTCCAAAGAGGACAGAGAAATGGGTCAAATATTCCAATTCATTATACTGATTACAGAAAATGCTCAATACTTTATAGAAATTATACTGTTTTTTGGGGCCAGGTATGGTGGTACACATCTGCAGTCCCAACACTCAGAAGACTGAGAAGGGTCCCAACTTTGAGACAGTAAGATCCTGTCTCAAAGAGCAAAACAAAAAACCATCCACAGACACACACAAAATAACCCCACACAAACCAAGATTTTCTCAAATTATCAGAATGTCTGGAATAGACACATCATTCCTAAATACCCAAAGATGAGCAGGAGCCAAAATGGAACTGTCAGTCTGGACATTTTTGTTTTTAGGACAACGTCCTTCTATGTAGCTCAAGCTGGCCTGAAACTCATGATCCACCCTCAACTCAGCCTCCCAAGTACTAGAATTTTACATATGCCACCTTATCTGGTCAGTCTGGGATGTTTCCTTGCCACAAAAGAACCTCCTTCAGGGCCATTATCTACCTGCCACATACAGGCCACAGCCCCTTTGCAACCTTACTTCTCATAGCTGATACCTACCTTACAGGAGGTCAAGTCCCTCTTTCCCTTCAATGAGTCAATGTAATAGTAACAGAATCTCTTAGCTTACAAGTCGGTTTTCAAAGCAAGAATCCATGTACTGTTTGACAAATATTTAAGCAACAGAAGGTTCTAGGAGTACACAAAACGAAATGAGTTGAGAACCCTGTGGTCTTGCCCGACAGATTTTCTGTGGCCCCTGGTGATTGCTCAACTGCTGTGGTCACCTGATATGGCACAGCCAGGCCTGTTTAGTCCTCAGGATAGGCCTCCCTTCTTCCTGAGGAGGTTCTTGTCCATACCCCATAGGGCTATGCTAGTAAAATAGAAAAGCTTTCAAAAAGGCCACCAAACCCGTAAGTTTCCCTCTGTGGCTTGGACCAGAAATAAGCACCTAAAACGTGGCATTTGAAATACCCTCTTTCTGGAGACAACATGAAGTTGCAGCTCTGCCTAAACGGGAACAAGGGTAGGCTGCAGCGAGGCTACCAGCAGAGGAGGAGAGGTAATCTTTCAGGCAGCTTCAGGACCGGGTGATCTTGTCCGGGGGCATGAACCCTGTGTCCCCGAGGGCCCTCAGTGCAACGCAGCCGTTGGGTCGGATCACCAAGTGGGTAATGCTGCCGTTGTTGAGGGACAGGCGGAGCCAGCCTTCCGGGGGAAACTGCAGTGCTCTGGAGAGAAAAGGATGGTAACAGAAAGCTCAGGGTGGGGCAGAGCTGTTTTGCTTGGGGAGAAGGCTGGCAGCCTTTTGAAGTAGGCATTCAGCTGGATCAGTAACTCAGGTGCTATTGTCTTCAAGGAAGGGATTCTCAGAAAAGGTCTGACTAGTCCACCAAATAAGGGATCTGACTGGTGGGGACAGGGCCTCAGGTCCAACTTAGGCTTTGTGTGAGTCAGAAATGTGCCTGGAGCCAGGCATAGTGGCATATGCCTTTAGTCTTAGCACTCTGGAGGCAGAGGTAGGTGGATCTCTGTGAGATCAAGCCAGCCTGGTCTCCATAGCAAAGTTCAGGCCATCTGGGGCTACAAAAGACGACCATGTGTCCAAAACAAAAAAAGAAATGTGCTTGGCAGGAGTGATGCTAGTGCATTTGTTTTCCACTAGATAAAGGGTATGGTTCATGACACCTACGGCATTTTCATGTTTTAAGAGTTAGGAATAGTGGGGCAAAAGAGATGGCCCAGTGTCACAAAGAGCACTTGCTGTACTTCCAGGGGGCCAGTTCAATTTCTAGCACCCATGTTTGGAGACTTAGAACCACCTGGGACCCATCGAAAAGAGGCCAAAACAAGGACTACCATGGGAAAATGGCATGAGCCTGGAGTTGTACACAGAGTAAGGAAAACCAAAAACAGAGCAGACTGAGCAGCAAACTAAGTCAGAGATCCTGATGCACAAGGTGACTGTCCACATATCCAATCACATGCACAGGACTAGCAGTCAGGGATCCTGACTCACAAGGTGTCCACACTGTTCAGACATAAACATGGAGGGAGACAGTGCTTATAGAAGGTCTGATACTAACAGGAAAGGGAAACAAAATCTCTACACAAGCTCAGTGCTGACTGCTACTGGCAGCATCCACCAAGAGGCAGTTGGGACAAGTGTGCAAGAAACAACTTCACCTGGTCCCTAGATACTCATCATTTGCACATGGTAATGGAGGGGAGCACACAGCTCCTTGACCATGTCACAGCCATTTCTACCAGGGATTTATCATTGGTACAGCAGAGGAAGGTAAGATGAGCAGGCATTCTACAGATAATGCATCAGACCTTACCAGGGTCCCCCCTCTGAGACAAGACTGAGGAAACTCAAAAGCCGGGAAGGATACAACCTGTCCTAGGTGGCTGATGGTGGTAATGGAACTGGACACTGACACAGTGGACTGTGAACACTAACTACCTAATGGCACCTACCTGCATACAATGTAGCGGATTACATTAGCATGGCATATAAAGATCTCATAGCTGTCTTCCTCTTGCTTGGCATCCGCCCGGTGGATGTAGTTACGGAACGCAGCCTCAATCCGGGCTCCATCTTCATAATACTGCTGGGGGCAGAGCAAAGAATTGGCAGTATGGGAGTAGACAAGGCTAAGGTCAAAGGGCAAACCTTGCCCTAGGCCAGTGGCCCAAGAGATGTCATTTTTACCACAGCCTCCGGCTTCCAATGAGACACAGGTGGGTCAGGCTCAATGGGGGCACCTTCCCGTAACAGGTCTGTGCTGACTCTGGAGACACCTGGGAAAAAGCAGAGACTTGTTCAGTGTTACATCCCAGGAGCGTCTCTACCCTCAGCACAGTGGGTATCTAGCACTCACCTGGCAGGTGCTTACTGATGATGTCTGTGGTCTCTACAGCACGAGTCATGGAGGAATGAACAATCTTATTAAACTTTAACCCCAAGCTTGCAAGTCGGAGCCCTGTGAGTTCAGCCTGTTCCCGACCTTGAAGGAGAAATGCCCTTGTGAATTTCAAATACCCAGACTCTCCACTTACTACACAATGAGGTGCCATCAAGCACCACTGGGGATGCTGCCCTTACAGGTCCTGGGCTTAACCAGGGTCAGGGCCTTGGAGCAAAGCAACAAGATAACCAGTTGTCTTCAATCTGAATGTACCTGATTACATAACAGTGAGCAAACTTGCGAGCTGTTTTATGTGAACACTTTGCTATGTCCAAAATCAAGTCCCAGCTGGGGATATAGCTCACTGGTAGAACACCTGACCCTGGGTTTACCCAGTACTAATAGGAGAATAAAATCAAGTCTCAACATCAAAGTGGCCCACTACTTTGTGACAACAGACACAAAAACATAACCCAACTGGGGTTGGTGATATAAACCTGTAAACCCAGCATTCAGGAGGCTGAGGCAGGAGGATTACCGTGAGTTCAAGGCCTGCCTAGACTACAAAGTTCAAATTTGTCTTATAAACAAAACACCTAGGGCTAGAGAAATGGCTTAGTGGTAAAGAGCGCCTGCTTCTCTTGCAAAGGAACCAGGTTCAGTTTTAGTACCCAAATGGTGGCTAGTAACTTGTAATTCCAGTTCCGGGGGATATGACACCCTTTTTTGCCCTCCATAGGCACTGTATGCATATGGTGCATTTATATACATACATGAAGGCAAAATATTTATACACATTAAAACACACGCACATACGCAAACTGATTCTCAGGGGTCACAAGGAAACTGGTTTTAAAGTACAGATGCTTTTCCTCAAACGTACTTTAAGCATCTGGGGGAAAACACCCTAGGAAATCATTTTCTTTTTTTTTTTTTTCTTTTTGAGACAGGGTCTCCCTGAAGTCCCAGCTGACCTGAACTCACTATGTAGACCAGGCTGGCCTTGAACTCACAATGATCTGCCTGCCTCTGCCTCCCAAGTGCTAGGATTAAAGGCATGTGCCACCACACCTGGCTAGGAAATCATTTTCTGATAGACATGGTGACCTGTATCTCCTGGTTAAGTACAGGTGCCAGAAACAACTTCTCAGGTCTGTGGCCTAGTCTGCTAGAAAACTAACCTGGAGACTGCTTACCATCCAACTTTTGAGTATGTGGACAGATAGGACATACGCTATTCAAACAAGAAATTGTTTAAAATGTAAACTCAAGCAGGCACACTGGCATGTACTCATATTCCACCGACCTGGGAGGTGAAGCAAGAGGATTCAGAATTAAGACCAGCCTCGACTACATAGTGAGACCATGTCTCATCACCTCCACCATGCCAAAGGGGGTGGGGGGGGGAGCCTGCCTCCTATCTAAGCAGGCTGATGTTCATGTTTGAGGGGACTAAGCACCTTCAAGGCCAAGCAAGGGATCTACAAGGTCCAGAACCCAACACATACCCAGTGGGGTCAGAGTGCGGTCCTTTTCCAGGGAGCCATCTACGTGGTACTGGGAATGCCGGATGAGGAAGATGTGTCTTGTAGCCTTGGCTTTGTAGTGGTCCAGTCTGGATGCCAATTCTTCTTCTCCAGATTCCACATTCCTTTTCCGAAGGTTAATGAGAGACAGCGGCTCTCGTCTAGCGGTGAAGATTGTGTTTTGTCTTGTGACCTTTCTCCTAAGATACCTTTTAGTACTTAGAAAAGGACAAGGGAGCCAAGGCTAGTACTAGCCCCAGGGAGGCCAGCCTCACAGAGCACACCTGCACTCTTCATCCAATGAGGCTGAGAGCAAGGCATGTTCTGAGTGATACAAAGTGGACACAATAGACTTGCAAAACTTGAAATGCATACTGTAGTGCCAGTGGTCAAGACTGGCCGAGGAGAGGGCTCAGAGATTAATGCGCTTATAACACAAATAAGAGGACTGGAATTTGGATCCCCAGAACCCACATAAATGCTGGGTAGGCAAGGCAGCCCACCTGTGACTCCAGCCTCAAGGTGGATCCCCAGAAGAAGCTGTCTAGTGAGACTATCCATATTAGCAAACTAGGTTGATTCAGAAACCCTGCCTTAATGGATAAAGTGGAAAAGTGATCAAGGAAGAATCTCAATACCTACCTAGGGTCTCCCATAGCTACACAAACCCACACACACACATGCTGTCATACACATGAGCACACATACACAAATACAAGCCACACATATAGGAAGGGGGGGAAAAGGAGAAAGTGATCAGTAATGCTTCGTGCATGAGACTGGAGAGCCTGTGGGAGTATGGATCAGTGGCATTGCAGCACAGCCTAAAACTATGCATCTACTAGTTATGTGGCTAGCTATTTCACTGTTCATTTTGATGTTTTTGAGACAGGATCTATGTAACCCAGGCTGGCCTTGAACACTTAGCCTTCCAAGTACTGGGATTACAGACATGTACCAATACCCCTTGGTTTAAATTCAAAAGAGAAGCAGGGGTCCCTGGCTGTATTTAGTTATGGAACGAGTCTACTTCCCACACTTGGTAGACTGAGGCAGATGGATTACAAAATTTGAGGCCAACTTGGGCTATGTAACAAGATCTGGTTTGAAAAAATAATAAAATCAGTTAAAATATACTCAGCCTTCTCTGAGAATCCCACATATTCAACCAAACAGGCATTAAAATATTCAGAAAGATATGCATCGGTGCTGAACACAGAAGCCTTTTTTTCTTGTGACTATATTTCAAGCTAACAACCACTTAGGTAGCAATTACATGGTACCAGGAATAATAAATAATCTAGAGACTATTTAAGTATATAGGAGGATGTGCCTAGGTTATCTGAAAATACTATACAATCATAAGCACCCAAAGTTGGTATGTGTACAGATCTGGAACCAATCCTCCAGGATACCAAGGGATTACTATAAGTTAAAATTTAAAAATAGAGCTGCTTTCTCAGTCACACTAAACACGTTTTAAATGCTCAGCAGTCACTGGGATAGTGGTTGTCACTGGTTGAGGGCTCAATGGGCTGGGTGTGTAGGGGTTGAAGGAACTGAAGCTACTTGCAGTTAAATGTGGGAGGCTAGAAAAGCAAATGTCAAACCTGCCAAAAATTTACTTAAAAACCGGTGGAAGAGGAAAGTCTGGGAAGTGTGGTGTTGGCTCCAGGATTACCTGGATAAGGTTAACCAGGGGTGCTAGTCCCACACCTGACCAAGCCAGAGTCTTACTGCAGATGCAAGAATGTGAGTCTGGGCCAGACCAAAACATTTGGAAGCTACTGTCAAGAGACAGGAAGCCATGGACTCCATGAGGCTATGCAGGAGGAGACCAGACTTAACCACGTGAATATACCCCTTCCTAGACCCTGCAGTTGCTTATCCATCTGCCCTGTGTCATCCCCACCTAACAAAGATGCATTCACTCCCCAGTAGATCCACACACCTGCAAACATGGCAAGCAAATATGGAACGAGCTTAAATCATAATTCAACTCTCAGTTCTACTTCGAGCGTGGGTTCTTTGACCTCACAGTGAACAGCAGTATGCCTGTAATCTCAACTCTGCAGGCTGAGAGGAAAATCTGGAGTTTAGCCTGGGCTATAAATCAAGACTATAGATAGATGAAAATCGGAAAGGCTTTAGAATTCCAGACTCAGATGCACTGTGCTGAACAAGGATCCTCCAATGGACAAGGAGAGATAATCTAGAGTTTTGTCTGGGTTATCAAGACTTTGACTACAAATAAATAGGTATTGGTGGGAAATTTTAAAGGCTTTAGAATTCCAGGCTCAGATGCACTGTCCCTGAACAAGGACCCTCCAAGGGACTGGACGGCCGTCCCCTCCTTGGAGGGATGGACGGTTCAAGCACAGGACTCCTAGGAGGAATAGGGACACGGGGAAGGGACATGGGGACCCTGGCTCATGCACACGCCATCCTTTTCAGGGGAGACATCCGCCCTCCCTGGATGGATGGGAGGAAACAGCCCCTACCCCCGGCCGCGCACCTGTCCCAGTTGGAGTCCCAGACGCCGGGCCCGGGCCGCGCGGCCCCCACCCAGGCCGGCGGCTCGGCTGCACGCGTGTCTACATCCCCGCCGCCTCGCGGCTTGCCTACTGCCACGGCGGTAAAAAGCACAACGGCTGAGCCGCCCGCCAGCCCGCAGGCCGCCAGCTGCAGCGCCTGCCGGAACGCCATACCGCACACCGCTCGGCCGGTCGGCAGAACTCGAGGGACACTCTTCCGCGTGCACCGCCCTCCGCCGGGCGGAAGCTCCGCCTCTCTCCCCGACTGCTCCGAGGCGGAGGAAGACATCCGGCTAGCAGCACCCCGGACTAGATAAGTACTGCGCTTGGTCTTGGGTTTAGGTGAACTAGGAAACTTCAGCAGGTTTGTCTCTTGCTGAGTTCGTTTGTGGTTTTTTTTTTTTTTTTTTTTTTTTTTTTTTTTTTTTTGGTTTTTTTGTGTTTTTTTTTTTTTTTTTTTTTTTTTTTTTGGTCTTTTTGAGACAGGGTCTCCCTGTAGCCGTATTCTCTTGTAGAACAGCTCATTGCTTCAAGAATATGCATACTTCGTGCAACTGTCGACTTTCATGTCCAGAAAGTCCCATACTCCTGTATTAAAATTGTCAACTCTCCATTCTCCACCCAGCGCCTGGAACCTACCACTAAAGAATTTAAAGAGCTCTCGCTATGTATTTCTCCCCAAGAATCAATGACTGTTCTAAGAAATCACACATGGAAGCTGCTGCATCTCTATTTTTTGTGACCTGCACCTTGTTCACAGTGACATCTAAGGTCATCTCTGCTGAGTCTATGTTGCCTTTCTAAAACACAGGATTCTGAAGTTTCTCCCTCTATAATTTTAAGGCATTTTGAATCAGTTGATTTAGAGTCAGATGACATCCTGAATGGTAGACTCTGTTGGTGAGTGGGTTCCCCCAGACCCCATCGATGGTGTTTCTGATGTCACTTCCTCAGAGAGGCCAGGTAGGCATACTAGAACAGTCTCGCCAAGTTAGCAAAGAGCACTCGGAACTGTCAAGAGAACAGCTGGGCCATGGTGAGTGGGAATCCTGACCACATCTGGCACACACGTCACCCAAGGCAGAGTTCAGCCCTTCAATTGTTTAATATTTGATTAATCTTACCTGCCCACTATTGAACTTCCTCTACCTTTAATCTGTACCATGGTCTGTGTTAGGTCCCAGCAGGGGTGGAAGAACAAACAGTCCTCTCCTAACAGGCAGAGATGCAAGAACTCACAAGAGCAGAGCCATCCCTTTCCTTTCACCAGACACTTTCTTCAGCTTCTCATCAGTCAGCCTCACATGGGGCTTTCTGTACCTAGTGCATGTGACACACTTAGCCTGCTCTGCCTGTTGTGTCTGGCCTCCACCCATCCCACCAATGCCCTAGCACCTGCTTCAATCATCTGGACTTACACTTACCTGAAAGCACCTTCAGTCAGGTGCTGTCTCTTCCAGGCAGACAGCTCCATGACAGTTATAATCTAGCCCCATCTTGCTAATCATGAGTCTTTTGGCACTGGGGCACACAGTAGGTGCCTAACAATACTTGCTGCATAACCTCCCTGCCTCTCAAGCATTCATTTGCAACTATCTAAAATGAAAGCCCTAACCTCCTAGCACTGCCTGGAAGCAGTTTTCTGGCCTCTTCACACCTTGACTCACTAATGCCTCCACAATCTTTCCAGAATGCCTAAGGTCCCATGGCCTTTGGGTACTGCCCTGGCATAGTCTCTTTTTAAAAAAAAATATTTTATTATTTTATGTGTATGCGTGTATTGCCTGCATGTAGGTGAGTGCACCCGTGTCGTGCTATGCCCTCGGAGGACAAAAGAGGCTGTCGGATACCCTGGACCTGGAGTTATGGACAGTTATTAGCTGCCATGTGGGTGCTGAGATTCGAACCCAGGTCTTCTGCAAGAACACCCAGTGTTCTTAACTGCTGAGCCATCTCTCTCCAGCCCCAGTTTCTTTTTGACTTCTTTAATCCCTGAGTACAAGTGCCAGTGCCAAGCAAAGTTTCACCAGGCCCTTAACTAGGAAGGTTTGGCCTCTTCCCAGAAGCCTCTTCTGCTCAGAACCAGAAGAGAGAGGTCGGGCAGCCTGCCCAATCATGTCACTGAGGAAGGGCCCTTACCTAAGCACCACTCTGCACCCACCCAGATTAACCCAGTCCTCTTCTGAAGCTTCTTTAGGGTAGCTCCAGGGGACCCTCTTTCTGGACCCACATGTCCACCCATTCCAGAGGCAGCTATTATCTATACCCAAGATGGTCCCGTGAACATGGTACTGTTTCTCTAACCTTCAAGTCCCTCTACTACTCTAGCCTCTTGACTTTCTCCTCATCTTTAAACTTCTTAAAAACATTTTGTAGACTTGCTGTTTCTCCTCCCTTCCTCCCTTCCCAGGCTAGCCTGGAACTCCTGATCCTCCTGCCTCTGCCTACAGCTTGCTGGATTATAGGCATGCACCACCATGAAGGACTTGGCTGTGATTTGTGTGCTTCCCACTCACTCTTCAATTCAACTCAATCTGGCTTCCATCCTCAATATGGCTCTTAGGACGGTCACCAATAAGGCCACTTAAAGCTCAGTTGTAGTTGCTGGGAGGGAACGGGGTGGTGCTGGGGTTTAGTTCCCCGTAACTTCTGCTGTGATCAGCCCTTTGTCATGTCATTATTGTTTCCTGGTTTTCTATTTCTTGGTCTATGTGATATATGTATATATGAATGAGTGGTCCATGTGGGAATATTATGTGTATGGGGGCCAGAGAGATGGCTCAGCGGTTAAAAGCACTAGTAGTTCTTGTAGAACACCCAGGTTCAGTTTCCAGCACCCACTTGGCTGCTAATAACTGTCTGTAAATCCAGTTCCAGGGGATCCAAAACACTCTTCTATCCTCTGGGGGCACTGCACAGCACAGGTGCACTTCCATACATACAGGCATAATATTCATACACATAAAACAAAATTTTAAACTTAAAAAAATATGTAAAAAAGTATGTAAATATTTATGTGGTATATGAGACATGGGTAGGTACTATATGTATATGATATGAAGTGAGGCCCATGTGTGTATGGAATAATATCTGTGTGGTATTATGGACTTGTTTGTATGTACAGTGTACATAGTGTGGGATGTATATGTGTGTATGTATACAGTATACATATACATGGTGTGTATATGGATGTGGTCTGTATTATGTATGTGTGTACACACTGGCTAACCTCTCTTCTTCCATTCAATGGGGGTCTGTACTGAGGCTCCTCTGTTCCTCCCCCTGGATGGTCCCTAGTCTATGAGCTCCTTCCAGGAAGGCTACTTAACAGAGCACAAAAGAAGGTGAAGTTCCTGGGGTAGCCTGAGGCCCTGGATAGGCCTGTTTGGGAAGATGGCCCTGGCTGGCAACGTGGGTGTCATAAAGGGGCCTGCCCTTTCCCTTATTCATGGTGTATAGACCTAGTTCCAGGGTCTAGAACTTGGCAGAGGGTGCCTAGTACCAGTTCTTGGAAGAAATCTGACAGCTCTCTTGACAGACCCTGACCTGAACAGGAGGAAGAATGCCACTGGAAGAGGACTGAGTTCAGTTTCAGAGAACACAGTCCATAGTTAGTTCGAGGCCAGCCTGGTCTACATAGTAAGTTCCAGGACATCTGGGGCTACAGGGAGACACTGTCTCAAAAAGACCAAAAAAAAAAAAAAAAAAAAAAAAAAAAAAAAGAAAGAAAGAAAGAAAAGAAAAGAAAAGAAAAATGCTTAGGTGGTATAAAAAACCAGAGGGAACTGCATTTGTTCAAAAGCCTACTGAGGGCTGGAAAGATGGCTCAGAGGTTAAGGAGCACTGGCTCTTCTTGTAGAAGACCCACGTTTGATTCCTAGCCCACATGGTAGCTAACAACCATCTGTAACTCCAGTTCCAGTGGATCTGATGCTGCTCTCTTCTGGCCTCTGCTGGCATAGCATGGCACAGGTGCACTTACATGCGTGCAGGCATTAACACTCATATACATAAAATAAAAATAATAAAATATTTTTTAAAGTCTACTGAAAAATACACATACAATATCTGTACACAAGTGCATGTATATAGCTGAAGGCTATATAACAAGAAACACAGTGCCAGACAGGAGAAACTTTGTGGAGACCATCCACATCCGCATTCGGCCATGTTCCGCATTTGGCCTTGTTCAGGCTTGTCTGGGCTTGTTTCTGGAATCCTGTTAGAACCAGCTTTTCCTGGTAACTGCTGATGCATGGGTCGACCAATCCAAAATAGCCACCTAGTATTTTCTACCTATCAGAGTAAGGCCACCAGTAAGTGGAACCGCCAATCGGTGTGAAGGCCCCTCCCACGGGCTGGATTGTATATAAGGGCACGCCCGAGCCCGCTCGCGCTCTCTCCGTCCCCACCATCGCTGTAACTTCTTCAATCCTGCAATAAAGCTCAGCTGACGAGAAGGATTCCAGAGTTGCGTCTTCCTTGCTGGTCGGGGTGGTCGCAACAGGTGGTGCCGAAACCCGGGAAAGTCGGAACCCCTCGGACGGAGAGCGAAGGTGAATCCAGAACTCGTACAGCCGCGGGTAAGTTAAAGTAAGTATAGACTCAGCTTGATGACCGGAGAGGTAAGTTTGTCCCTGATCCTTGCATGTTTCCTCATCCCTTGGGCTTTGGGAGTGTTGTTGAACCCCGGCACACTCCCGATGTGGAGGCTCATAGCCTCCTGCATTAAGGATGACCAAAATGCGGATCTCGTTAGAGAGGGACGCAAGGTCTTTGAGGATTATCAGGACAACTTGTCAGAAACTGGTTCGGCTAAGCAAACTGTAAAGAGGGAGGCGCCTCCGAAACAGAAACAAAAGAAGAGTAAAAGAAATATTTACAGGGAGGAAAGAAGACAGAGTCCAGAACCCCCTAAAATTATAGCTAATAAGAGAAATGAGCCTTCAGTTGGGGACACAAACTTAACTTGATAGGCCTTAACATATATGACAGAATGCATGAAACCCAGTGGGGAGGATATGAGGAGTACAGATAGGGGAGAGGGTCTAAGTATGATTAAGATGTACTTTATGAAATGCACAAAAATTCAATAAAAATACATATTAGAAAATATTGGGGCTGGAGAGATGGCTCAGCGGTTAAGAACACTGGTTTTCTTGCAGAAGACCTAGGTTCAAATCCCAGCACCCACATGGCAGCTAACAACTGACTGTAACTCCAGTCCCAGGGGATCCGACAGT